AAATTTCCGCTGACGGTTCTGAGGTCCCGTAGTCACGCTGAGGGCAAAATGCAGTTGAGCGTCAAATAGAAGAACGCGCACTTACCGCTGAGCGGTATTACCATAGCGCCATTTTATGGCCCTGGCCACTTTTCTGTAATTTTTAGAATAATATATAAGGTTTTAGTCGACCTAGGTCAGTCATCTTTGGCTGGAACGAAGCATAATACACTTTCTTCACCCCTTGGAGGAGGATTTTTGAGGTTCAAGCTCCACTCTTCAAATTCTAGGGTTCTATCTTTCATTCTTTCAGTAATTTTTCATCTAGTTTCACCATGATTATGGTGAACTAAACCTTCATTGTTGTTTGGGAACATTGTAATCCTTTGAAAGCTCTCATGTATTGAATTGATTCTTTAAATATATGCTTTCTTTTCATTAATCGTTAGGGTTTTTCTTCTATACTCTATGATGCTTTGTTTAACTCATCCAATTGCTGATCATTGATTTTTTTGTATGGACATCATTATGAGATATATAGACATGAAGAATTCTCCCAATAGTAGTATTACTAGACATAGGAATATTGATGTTGGTTGCCTTTAAGCTTCTCTGGCGAAGTAAGGGATGAATAATGGCTAGGGAGACAAGACATTGTAAACTAGTGATTAGGAATAGGCTTTCTTCACCAAGACTTGGTTTTAAGTAATTTAGAAAGTGAAATTAACATTAATGAAGAAGATGAATTTCTTGAATACATGAGAGTGGATAGGATGAATTGGTACACCCTAACAACATAATCATTCATATTATTCATCAAAACGTTTTTGCATTGTTCAAGTCCATTAATCAAAACCTGCATTCATGTTTGGTTTTTCATAGTTCAACAATAATATTTTCGGTTACAAGTCTAAGATAATCAACAAATCAATAACTCATTTAGGCGTGAGGTCTTCCTTTGGGAAAACGATACTTGGTCTTACCATTTTTTTCTTGATACGATTCGGTTACACTTACCGAGGGGTGAACAACCGTGCAGAATACGTCCAATCTCCGAATGGGAAAGGCTTCCGGAATTGAACGCGAAAGGACTTGCCAGAATCGAACGTAGTAGACTCGCTAGTTTCCGACGTGAGAGAACGAGCGGAAACCTAAACGAGAGAGTACTTACCGAGCCGAAACATCAAAGACCAATTCCTCAGGCTAAAGTGGAGAAGCGATGTGAAGTTACTAAAAGACATCAAAGACCAATTCCTCAAGGCTTATGATTCTGGAAAAGTGGTGACCAGAATGTTGGACGAAGAATGAGAAGACATTGAAGGAGGTTTTACCACACCCAAACATCCAAACCTCAATTGGAGGGCAACAACAAGTGAATACCCTTCTTATGGTAACAGATGATGAAGAGAACCCAGGAGATCAAGTTTCACTGTTCCAACCTTGAGGATAAGGTTATTTTTGAAGAAGGGTGTAATGTTACAGTATAAGGTAGGAGGTAATAATAAGGTTTGGAAAGTATATGAGAAGGAGAAGGAAAGTAGGAGGGAAGTAAAACCGAACGGTATTGACCGTAAAGGCCAAACGGTAGCCGAACGGTGGAAGACGTTGAGAGGTCTAGCCGAATGGTGGAAGGTGATGAAGAGCGGGAGCCAAACGGTAGGAGGCAGGGGGAAGCAAGCCGAACAAAAGAAGGCGAGAAGCGAGCAGGCGGAATGGCTGAAGGTAGGGAGCGAGCAAGCCAAACGGTGGACAAGGGAAGAGCGACCAGACTGAACAGGGGAAAGCAGACAAAGGACTGAGCCGAGCGGTTGAAGAGTTACCATCCTAACTGTCACAACGGTTAGGATGGGCGGGAACTAATTACAGTAAAGGGAGTTGTTTTTGAGGAAAATATTTAGTATAAGATAATTAGAGTAAATAAATATATATTCTAGGGAAATATACAATATAAGATATTTATAATTAATGATATATGCTAGGGAAATATACGGGGGAATATTTACTTTAAATATAGGGATATTTATATTAAATATAGATATATTCTAGGGAGACATTTAGTATGAGATGAGTAGGAAATAATTAGTATAAATAAAGCTAGAGTCTAAGATTAAGGGTATACTTTTGATTTGAGAGTTTTGTGAAAGAGGTTATGCTCCAAAATAATTGAAGGAGGTTATGCTCCCAATTATTGTTTGTTCTATTTGATTCAGTTATTCTTGTCAATAAAAGAAGTTTATTCATCCATTTTTTTATTATCTATTTGTCTGTGAGAGTGCGTGAGAGATTGTTCTGGTTAAGTTTCATACTCAGGTATGTAACAGTAAGGGAAAATTCAAGTAGGCAAGGTGGACTTGAAGCTTTACGCAGTAAACTTTTTACTGAGTTGTTAGAGAATGAAAATCATTGTTCTGATGCACCCCTCTTAGTACCCCAGGTTGTCATGCGTAGGCTTGGACATAAAAGAGTCTTCATTGTATTGGATGATGAGGCTACCTAAGAGCAATTAGAACGTCTCATTATAGATTATGGTTTGTTGGGACCAAGAAGTAGAGTCTTTGTTACAACTAGAGACAAACAACTTTTTCGACCAAATGATGAGATATATGAGGTGAAGGAATTGAGTATTCATCACTCTCTCGAACTTTTCAGTTTGACTGCTTTTGAAGAAAAAATACCTAAACATGGATACGAAGATTTATCAAGAAGAGCAATTTCCTATTGCAAAGGTATTCCTTTGGCTTTAAAAGTTCTTGGTGCAAGTTTACATTGAAGAAGTAAAGAGGCATGAGTTAGTGAATTGAGAAAACTCAAAAAGATTTCAAAGATGCAAATTCATAATGTATTCAAGTTAAGTTATGATGGCTTTGATCGTTCTCAAAAGGACATCTTCTTAGACATTGCATGCTTCTTTAAAGGAGAAGATAAAGATCGGGTCACAAATCTGTTGGAAGCTTTTGATTTCTTTGCAGCATCTGGAATAGAAGTTCTTTTAGATAAAGCACTAGTAACAATTCCAGAATTCAATAATATAGAAATTCATGATTTAATACAAGAAATAGGTCGAGAAATTATTGATCAAGAATCTATCAAAGACCCTGGAAGGGGAAGTCGATTTAAGAGAAAATCTGGCATACAAAGCAGTAGCAAGGGTGGTCTTTGCTATGCCACCCATGCCCCATATTCCCAGGGTTCTAACCTCTCTTGACCCAATTCTTAGTAATGATTCAATTTGTTCATAATTTTCTTCAATTCCAACCAGTCCTTTTAGTTGGGTTGGGTATCTAGCAGTCAGTTTTCGCAAAATGTCAACAACAATGTCCATAAGGAGCTCAGATTCAATCCTAGCACATGAAAATGGGGAACAAAAAGTATATGATGTGTTGTAAGTCTACAAAAAAGTAAATATAATTGTCCACAATGTCGAATTAGCAGTCAAAAACCCAAAAATTAATAATAATTGGAGAATGAAAAATCAATGACGTATAAAACTTCTAAAGCAAACTACTATGAAACTTGTTAGGAATCTGGGTAAGAATCCTAACTTTCTACCTCACTCACACACTTCAGTAAAACTCACAATAAGAAATGGAAAAGAATGGAACTGTATTCACATCAAAGAATCAAGAATACAACTGGGAACCTTGTCTAACTGAAAACAATAAAAGAGTTCCTTTTATAAAGACCCTTTTCCCGCCCCACTTAACTGTTTAGCAGTTAAGTACTCTTCCTCACCTTTTTCCTCTCATAAACCTTCCATGTCCGAACATTACTCCCCCTTGAGAATCAACCTTGTCCCTAAGGTTGAACTTTGGAAATTGTTCTTGCATCACCATTCGATCCTCCCACGTTGCACTATCCACCCCTCAGTCTTGCCATTCAATCAGTACTTGCTCTCGCTGATCTCCTCCTTGTTGCTGAACCCGTCTGTCTAGTACCTTGGTTGGCCAGCATGACGGTCAACTCATTTGTAAGTCTACTAGCAATTCCTTCTCCACTCGATTTGTCCCGATGGCCAGCTTCAGCTGGGACACATGGAAGACCATATGGATCCTTGCATTCTCAGGTAGTAGCAATCTGAATGCTACCTCTCCTATTTTCTGAATCACCCTGAACGGCCCGTAATACCTGATTGATAATTTTGGATGTAGTCTCACCGGCATAGAAGTTTGTCTGTGCGGCCGGATCTTCAAATATACCCAATCATCCACCTTTATAGTCATCGGCCTCCTCTTTCGATTAGCCTGCTTGACCATCATATCTTGAGCTCTCGTCAAGTGGAATCTAAGTTGTTGCAGCGCCTCGTCACGCGTCTGAAGTTCCTGGGCTACCGCTTCCACCAGTGTTTCTCCCGGCACAAACCTGGCTAAAGATCGTGGCGCCCTCCCATAAACCACTTCAAACGGTGTGCTTTTGGCCGCCCCCTAGTAGCTGGTGTTGTACCAATATTCTGTCCAAGGAAGGATCGGGTTCCAGCTTTTTGGCTGTTTAGAACAAAAGCACCTCAAATATCCTTCTAAAACACGGTTCAACACTTCTGTCTGTCCATCGGTTTCCGGATAGTAAGATGACCTCATCTGAAGATGGGTCCCCTACAACTTGAACAGCTCCCTCCAAAATGAACTGAGAAATAATGGAGTTAGGCACTCTGTGTAATTTCACTACTTCCCTCACAAAAGCTTCGGCTACGGTTCTCGCTGTATAAGGATGTTTAAGAGGGATGAAGTGTGCATACTTGCTTAAACAATCCACGACTACCAAGATGGCGTCACACCCTTTTGACTTCGGCAACCTCACTATGAAATCCATGTTGATGTCTTCCCAAATAGCTTGGGGAATTGGCAACAGTTGTAAAAGCCCTTGTGGTGAAGCGACTAAGTATTTGTGTTGCTGGAACACTAAGCACTGGGCGACAAACTCTATTACCGCCTTCTTCATCCCGATCTAGTACAGGGACTACGCTATCCTCCGGTAAGTGCGGTATACTCTTGAATGGCCCCTTGTTGGAGTTGTATGATACTCCGTCAGCAGTTTCGGGACCCAGTCTGACTTGGCCGAGATGACGAATCTTCCTTCGTAATGTAGTCGCCCATTCTCCATCGTGAATGAGGAGTACTTATCTGGATCCGGGTGATGTCTGCCATAATCTTCTTTAAATCTTCATCTTCTTCTTCCTCCTTTACCACTTCCTGAAAATCCTTCCAGTACGGCCTCATCATTCCCTTCAGTTCCTTCTCCATCCCTAGATTGTGTTTCTTGGTTCCTTCCTTTCGTGACAATGCGTCAGCTACTTTATTAGTGGTTCCCGTTCGGAACACAGTCTCGAAATCATAGCCAAGGAGTTTGGAAATCCAATGTTGTTGAGCTTGAGTGGTTATCCTCTGATCCAACAAAAATCTCAAGCACTTTTGGTCAGTGTGCACGACAAACCTTTGACCCAACAAATGTGGCCGCTAGTGCTGGATCGCCATTACCACCGCCATGAGCTCCTACTCGTAAATCGACTTCCCTAAAGTTCCCTCCGATAACGCTTTGCTAAAGTATGCTATGGGTCTCTGTTTCTGCGTCAGCACCGCTCTGATTCCCACCCCTGAGGCGTCGCACTCTACATGGAAAGGCTGCGTAAAGTCAAGTAATGCTAGCACCGGTGCTGACGTCACCGCTTCCTTTAATCTTCCCATCGCCTCCCTGGCCGCCTTTGTCCACACGAAATTTCACTTCTTCAGCGTCTTAGTTAGCGGTCTTGTTATCTTGTCGTAATCTCTTACAAACCTTCGATAGTACCCCATTAGGCCCAAAAAACTCTCAAAGCTTTCAACATCTTTGGTTCTTCCCAGGCAACGACCGCCTCCACCTTTTCTTCATCCATCTCGACCCCTTTCCTTGTTATAACATGCTCCAAATACCTGATCGAGGTTTCCCCAAATTCACTCTTCTTCCTGTTGGCCACCCACTGTTGTTTTTGTAAGCGGTCCAACACCATGTTCACTTGCTGCAGATGCTCCGCCCACGTTGTGATGTACACGAGAATGTCGTTGAAGAAGACGAGAACGAACTTCCACAAATACGGTCGGAATAGCTCGTTCATGGCGCTCTGGAAAGTCGCGGGGGCGTTGGTGAGGCCGAACGGCATTACCGGGAACTCATAATGCCCCAAGTGGGTCCTGAACGCCATCTTCTGGATATTCGCTTCCCCCATCCGGACCTGGTGGTACCCGATTTTGAGGTCCACCTCTAAGCTCGTCCAACAGCTCTACGATCACCGGTATGGGGAACTTGTTGGGGACGGTGGCTCTATTGAGCGCTCGATAGTCTATGCAAAATCGCCAGCTTTCGTTTTTCTTCTTTACGAGAATCACCGGGCTCGAATAGGGACTTATACTTGGTTGAATAATCCATGCATGCAACATTTCTGCCACCTGGCGTTCGATCTCCTCTTTCATGACATGTGGATAGCAGTATGGGCGCACATTGATATCTCTCTTCCCTGTCAGGAGGCAGTTCGCGGGGTTCCCTAAATACCCCCTCATACTACTTCAAAACTCTCCCCATTTCCTCCTTCTGCTCCTCCGTTAACCCCTATTCCCCTTTATCCTCTCGTCCCGGTCTTCTACTTTCCAA